CCCTTTACTGATGGTGGAAATGTACCAAGACCCAAGTGGACATCTGGAATCACAAATAATATCAAGCCTTATATATCCTGTGTTTTTTTTTATATATACATATGATAAAGTAACCCTATACTGTAATAAACATTCTATGAGTACACCCCTTCTCTCCTCACTCTCAAAATCTGGAATTTTCCACTTAATACTTTCAGACAGTGACTGACTTAGGTAACCAAAACCATGAAAAACCACAAGCATGGATAAGGGGGCAGAGGTGTACTGCACTTCAGCCGAGTGACTTTTAGGGTATATTAGGAAAACAACACATTGGTTATTCACACTAGCATGCTGGCAGCAGTGGATTTTATATAGTTCATGACCTGCGTAAAAGGTCTGTAAAATAAAAATATAACATCCCTGATATTTTTCTTCTACCGTCTGAGTATGCTGCAACATTGTCTAGATCTTGTTGATGTTGGAAAGTCGGTAAGACGGAGATGTGCCTGTCTTCTGCATAAACATCAACCCAGTATATCACTGCTCTAAAAGGGAAGGGGATCACTGCAAAGTGCCTTTTATCTGTGATCTTTACAGTACAAATTACCTGCTTAGGCACTAGCTGTTCTAAGATCAGCTGTTACTTAGGTTTCTGAGGAAGGACTCAATAATCACAGAGTTAGCAGATTTATAGCACCAGATAGCCAGATTTGCTTTTCCATAAAAGGATGCAGGAGAGATGCAAGAGTATCTTTGAAGCAAATCTTGTACCCTTTTGAGCTTATATGAATCACTTAAAAAACAGCCGTGCTCCAGATGACCTGTGGGAGTAGCCATTTGACAGGGTGAGTAAATAACCCATGGCAAATCCTAACATTCAGACCCGCAGGGCAGCAAGAAGAGACTCTCACACTCTCAGATTCTGCAGATCCTCCCCTTGGATATGGAGAAAGGGAACGTGATTTTAACCCTCAGTGAGCAAATGCCCTCTTTCCTTTCTGGGATGCCCTTAATCAAGATCCAGATAAATAATGCATCACTGAAAATAGGGCACAGCAATTCTTTCCTTTAACTCCCCAGCCACACTGCCAGGAGCCCGATGACATGGTGCAGAGTCACCCCTAGTGTTGTAAGCAAGGGGAAGGAAGGTCACAGCAGACCTCTGACTGGGTGTGCAGTGTCCCTGAACAAGGAACAAAACTGAAATCAGTAGAAAGGGATTGCTCAAAATACGCTGCTTGTGAGCCACCGTGCTCATTTTGGCCAATGGCAGCTTCCTGTAAAATCTTTTCTATATGGTGCAGCATCTCAAATACGTCAATTGCCTTGTCTCAGCCTAAAATTCTCAAAAAAGTAACACAGGATAAACTCCTCTGTTGGAGTTTAATGCAGACCCAAAGAAATAAGCAGAGAGGCCGTGAGGTGGTAGGAGGAATGAGAGCAGAGTGCAGTCTATGATTTCCAGGGCTCTTCTCCTTTGGGTAACGTATTAAGCAACAGGCACAACCATTCATGATTCCGTTGTTAAAAATGCCAGCCTCAGCAGTTTCCATCCCATGGATCCATCTGCAGGCTATGCAAGCACCGTCCCGGCGATCACATTACCCCGGCTACCCATTTACCAAAAATACTCAAGCTATTCCTTTCTTAAACAATTCTATTTCCTCAATACAATACAAATCTTTAAACACTTTATTAAGCAATGTTTTTCCATGTTGCTTATGAACTTGATGTAGCAGCTCAATTAAGCTCTTAAGAAAGAAGTAGCACAAGGATTTTAAAGGTGATGTCCTGTTGGCAGCATATGGATTCCAGTGCCAGCACAGGCAGAGTAAGATGCCGTTCCACTGCTGAGCAGTAATCCACAGGGAGGCCTGGAGGAAAGGAACTTATTCTCAAAGGCTTATCAAGCCTCTGTGTCTGCCAGGGCTCTCGTAAAATTTGCCTGTAACAAACTGCTTATTGGGTAGTTTCTCTTTTGAACTAAAACAATTCTAAAGACTCCCAGGGTCCATGAGAAAACACTTTTGCTCCCACTGGGAACCCAAGCAAAAAGTTTTGTGTTCTTTCCGCTTCATCATCTAATTCCTCGGAAGCTTTTCACCGCTCCTGCAGTGAGGAGAACATGCTATAACAGTAGAAATGCCACAACAGCAAACTGTACGCTTTGCAAACAAAACAAAACAAAAAAGACGGTCAAGTATGACTGTCAGCATAATGACTGCAGGAGGAAAAGATATGTGTATTTAAATGAAAAAGAAAACATTAAAATTATATTCCTTGGAATTATCCCTGCTATGGTTTGGATCTTGAATGTCCTCCAAAGTCCCATGTTTTAAATATTGGTCCCCAGGGTGAAATTATTAGGAGGCAGTGGAACCTGTAAGGCCTGGAACCTAATGGGAGCTATTTATTCATTGCAGTCATGCCCTTGAAGGGGACTATGGGATTCCAGCGTCCTCCTCACTCTCTTTTACTTCCTGGCAATGAGGAAGTGGAAGATTTTATTTGTGATGGGTTCCCACCATGGTGTACTGCCCCACCATAAGCCCAAAGCAATTAGTCCACCTGGCCATGGTAAGAAATTTCCAAAATGCTGAGCTACAATTTTTTGCTGCATAAAGCAACTATCTCAGACATTTTGCTATAGTGGTAAAAAGCTAACACAATTACCTTAAAAGTCTTTCTCAGTACATTTCTGCTTGGTGATTTACTATAATCTACTGTAATAAAGTGGTTACCAGCATAAGCCCTGGAATAAGAACAGCTCAAATTTCCACTTTACAATTTACAGCTTTGTGGTTTAGTCATGTTTATAATGAGTTCTGTGCCTTTGCATCCTTGTCTGTTAAATGGGGATAATAATCAAGCTGTCAGAAGGCTTAAGTTGTTGACACATACAAAGCCCTTGGGCTCATGCTTAATAAAGCTATTATTATCACTATTACACTTCAAAATTGCTTTCACAAGTACTGCCATAGTTGATCCCATAAGCACTTTGTGAAAAAGAAGTGAAATCTGGAAATGATTTTATCTAGGTTTTACGGATGAGTATAATGAGGCTTAAATGTGTTTTAAAAAACACCTAATTTATAGATGAGCCAAGATTTGCATACTGGTTCTTGACATTAAAACTGGGATTATTTCCCATTACATCAGACTATTTGCATAAAACTGTAGCAAAAAATACCAATTATAAAATTCTGACATTAGATGAATTCAGAAGGGATGAAAACAATTGTAAGCCTCATAATACCTGTTCTAGGAATTCATTATTTAGACAAACAAAATTAAATGTTCAGTTGATGGAGGCATTAATTAAAGTAGTAAAAGCTGGCATTTAGTATATAGCAACTTGGAACCCCCATAAATCTGAAGCGTGAGGGAGAGACTCATCAGTATGTATTCTTTCTATTAAATTTTACTTTTTGTGAAAATAAACTCCCATCTTGAGAAAACTCAATATGAGAAAATGTAGAACAAAATCGTTTAGTAATTCCTTAGAAATAAAATCACTGAAGGAATGGCTTACTTGTTTACAAGTAACGTTTGCTACTATAATCTACAAGCCAGCAGGTAGTGGATTTTTTGGTCATTGATACATTGATGACATTCTGGCTATAGCCTCTAAGACTTAGAATCTAACCCCCAGGAACCCTTATCCACATGCAAATTTTATGAGACAAGCCAAAGACTGGTCAATATAAATGAACAACTGGCGCATATTCCTTCTTTTCTAATGAATTTTACACGTTAAATAGGTTCCCAGAGGAGTAATTCCTTCATGACTAACACTCATTTTACTATTAGTATCTAGTCAAATTCATAAAATTTGAATGGGTTAGCCTTCAAGAACTTGTCTGATTTTCCTATTTAATAAGATTAATCTCTTAAATTATGAATCTAGTTCTGACCTCAAAATGAGCTATACATACAAATCATTATTCCTCACATTTTAAAAAAAGGCATTTTAATAGACCCACATTAAAAACTAAATTCCATGCAAAGATAGTAATGTGAAAAATAATAATCTTAAAAAGACATTGCTATCCTCTGAATGACTAGCAAATCACACTGTGCACATGATCTTTGTTTTTTGTTGTTTTGTTTTGTTTTATTCAGCTCAACATCAGGGTTCTGCAAAACCTTGTAGAAACCTATGCAACACCTCAAAAGGTAATGCAACCTCTCTGCTTATCTCATCAGCTCCTTTTCAAATGTCCACTCATCCACTGTTGATATCCATCCCATAATGAAGAACCATCCTTTTCATTTTAATTTGTTTTAAATACAAGACACACAGTATTTTAGAAATATGCCTCTGAAGGTCAGGCATGGTGGCACACGCCTGTAATCCCAGCACTCGGGAGGCTGAGGCAGGAGGATCGTTATGAGTTCGAGACCAACCTGGGCTACAAAGTGAGCTCAAGGCCAGCCTGAACTGCATAGCGAGACCCTGTCTCAGAACGACAAAAAGACAAAAACAAAAACAAAAACAGAAATATGCCTCTGAAAGATATCCAGGCAGAATTATGTCATTCCTTAGATATATTTTTTTCAAATCTATAAAAAGTTAAATAGATACCACTAGTAGACATTCCTGGGACATAAAATCATAAAGCATTATTTGGCTGTAAGAAATACATTAAAATTTTCTTTGGCTTATCTCTACACATCAGTCATACTTACAACTATAAGACATAGGACAAAATTGAAAACAGATGACTGAATAACCCCACTATGCTAAGCAAATAACTGAAAAAGTATAAATCCCTGAATAAGCACTTGATCTCAAAGATAGACTTTAAAATATATTTTATTAATCATGCCCAACACTAACTTTGGACTGGCTTGAGATCAAAAAGTACATGTTTTATGACTATATTTAATAATCAACTGCCTCAACGAACTTGCATTAAATATATGTTTCAGGTTCTCACCACATGCTACTCCTACCCCTATTCCCTGCGTCCCTGGCCCTCTGTAAAGCCAGGGTCCAACCACAGCACGGTCCTTACCTGTTTCCCATCTAAAGTGTACAGGCGTTTCACTACGCCGGAGTCCAGCTTGATGGCATCGGTTATATCAGTGAGGACCTGCTCAAAGGAGTGAGCCGTTTTCTTGTTCAGCAGAATCCTGACAGCTTTCCGTGGCTTCACGCCACTTCTGATGATGGTGACCAGTTTGGGCCGAATGAAATCCTTATTCTCCCGCACCTCTGCAGTGCTCCCCTTGGCAGTGGCCAGCGAAGACACAGCCCGGGACGCCGAGGTGGTCTTCACATTCACCGACCAGTTAGGGTTCACATTCTTGGTGTACTCCAGTTTCTTGAAGGGCTCGATTGAGCCACACACATAACTCTCTCCTACGGAAGATGGCAATACATTAAAATGTACACTAGAATAAACTCATTTCCTTTTCCCTACTTGGTTTTTCATTTTTCTACTTTCATGTAAAGGCAAGAACAAACTGCGCCTAATCCGTGAAAGGGAATATTATCTTTTCTTTAAGTTGTTATTTAAAATTACTCCTTAACAAAAAATCTTTCAGTGGAAATACTCAGGCTGCTAAGATGTGGTAATGCACACACAAAAAGCAATAAATGTACGATGAGATGGTAAATTACAAATGTACCAAGGGATGGCAAATTATAAAAGGAGTGATTCTAAATACATATTTATAACGTTTCAACGCATCTTGAAACTAATGATTTTACAATGACTTTTCCCACTGTTGATAAGCTTTTGTAACTAGGAATAGGGAAAAATTCATAAAAGGACTCCATAATTGCAGGTAAAGTGACCTAGGCCGAGTCAAACACAACCCATTTACTTTTATTTAAGTCCTTGCCCTATTTTTAAATTCATGGTGTAAGCATGCAAGGCCACAGAATCACAAATCTTTTTTAAAATGAACTATAGTCTCAAAAATAAAAAAGGACAGGTATACATGTTACCAAACATTTACCTTGCAAATGTTTCTAAAACATTTCACTTTAATGTGTATCTGTATATCCCGTGCCTCACCAGAAGTTGTAGAGATAGTACAATTTAACCAATCCTCTTTCTATTCAACTGGCAAATCATAACTTGTCCCAAGTATGACTTTTTTTTAGGATTTAAGTGGTTATTAAATACATATCTGAGAGTGCTACAAGAGTAGTGCTTTGAAGGTTTATTGGAAGGATTTAATGAATGTGACAGTGGAAAAGTGATCAACCTCAAGACCTGGTCTCTCCAAGCATGTGACAAATCCCCTTGATTTCTAGGTGGTGATACATTCACCTGCCGTGTGAAGCCTCAATGGGTTGTTCATGAATGTCAAATTATATAGTATAGGGCAAAAGATATAACTCAGTGGTAGAATACTTGCCTAGCATGTGTGAAAGCCTGGATTGAATCCCTAGCACTGCAAGAAAAAAATATTAGCTAGTAGAGATCAAAGTGATCTCAAATGCACAATTGCTACACAAGCAAAAATAACCTGTAGTGGCATTACTCTAACCATGCAATAAGCCTGAAAGGAAAATTAAAAACAAAATTATCAGAAGTCGGTAAGCAGGCCTTATGTCACAAGGTGTTGTCTATAAACACAGTTAACAGCAAATATCACACTGGGTCTATCTCACTGATGATGTACTCCCCAAAAGCACACAGTCCCCAATTTATCTGGACAAGCCATCCTTTGTCAGAATTCTTGTATAAACAAAGATATGTAGTTGTAGAATTATTTATAAGTTCATTTATTAAACTAACAACCAAAACCAAAACAAAAGAGCAGGACAAAGTGGTTGACATTTCAACAAAGAAAACCTTTTAACTTCAGAAAAAATTGAATTAGAAAAGGGAGAAGTTTAAAGCACATAAGAATATGGAATGGTTTTTGTCGACACAAAAACAAAACACTTTTTTTACATCAGAAAGCATACTGAAATTTTTTAAAGATGCTGAAATCCACCAAGACACTTTGAGAAGGTAACCCATAGGTTAGGTTTGACAATCAGAAGAAGGCATAATTAATCTGTGATGTAATTATGAGGCTCTCTTATCTTGATCATCACATTAAAGGACTGGACTACAATTCCTAGAGAAGGATATGAAACTCCAATAAGGATGATGTACTGAGAAGAAAGTGACAGCTAAACAGAGCTGTCACTAAACAAGATCACAAAATCCAACACCTCACCCCACACCGTGCTGTCATTTAGAATTTAGGACTGCACAATTCAGGACTTTGGGAAAAACAAATGTGGGTTTCCTTATTAAATTTATTTGGTTCCATGTGTAAATTAATTTTAATAAATCATAATTCTGAACTTCACACCTGAAGATGTGATCCTTTTCTTAATTAAAATTGATTATATTTTCTGATTTTATAAGCTTTCAATCATAGTCATTACTCACTGTTGTAGTTTGAGGTTTTGCTAGGGGAACAATATAATATAGGACATCTATTTTATAAGATTATTTATAATAGTCACCCAAAGAGTCATATATAGAAGAGAGTGTGGGAAGTCTGTCCACACACTAAGGACCAAAGGATCCAGCTGAGGGCCTGGATCCCACAATAATGTCCTGAATGAGTCCAGTGGAAGACCTAGAGCCCCTAACAATGCCTCCCATGAGTCCAACTGGAGGCCTAAAGCCCATGACAATGCCTCATGTAGTCCTGTTTCATGGATCTGCACTAGGAAGGCCCAAAGGTCAGTGGTGAAAGCTAGATAGTCTGTGCTAGCGGGATGAAGGATCTGTGCTAGCAGGCTAAGGGATCTGCACTGGAGCCAGGAAGCGATGTTCTAAGTAAGAACCAGAGCTCCCCCGAAAAGACCCACAGTCATCCTAAGCAACAGTGAGGTCCCGAGCTCCTCCAATGATGAGAACAGCCAAGTTTCATCAGGAAAGCCAACGTGACAAGCTTCTCCAGGAGACTGAGCAGTGCACCATCTTCCCTTCTGGAGCCCGGAAATGATGCTCAATGTGAGGACCAGAGCTCCCCCAAAATGAACCATAGCCATTCTCAGTGACACCAAGGCGCCAAGTTCCTCCTCCAAGGAGAACAGCCAAATTCAACAGGAAAGCCAGCATGACAAGGTTCTCCAGCAGAATAGCCCAAGAGAACCAGCAGCTCCCTAAGTTTCCAAACAGCTTCTACTAGCTTCCAACAGCCTCTAAAATTCTTTTCCAGTTCTGCCTCTTATGCAGCCACCAACAGTCTTCACATGGGCCTCCCACACCCAGCACCATGCTGGTTCAGTTCAGCTGCGTGTTACAAGTTGACCACCAGTTGTCTATCCACCATACTCACTATCTATAGGAATTGGTTGTAGGACCTCCGGACTTTAAAATTCCTATGATGATCAAATGTTGTACATACAGTACACAGTATTTGCACAGAACCTATAGATATTCTCCCACATACTTTAAGTAATCTCCAGATTACATATAATATCTGGTACAAGGTAAATGCTAGATAAATAGTTGTTATACCGGATTTTTTTAAAGAAGTGTATATTTGCTCAATACAGATGATTTTAAAAATATGTATTTTTGATCCATGATTGGCTAAATCCATGTGAAGCCATGGATATGGAGGGCTGGATGTAATGTGTTAATATCATCAATAGCATCACAATTTACAAATGTAATTGTTCTGGATGAAAAGCACACATCTTAGGTTTGGTCAAATAACTGGATACGAAGTGTTTAATCTCTTGCTTCGTGGGACTGAGATTTGAAAGATAAATTATAGTCTTGGTTTAGAGAATCATTAATGGGTTGCACTCAAGTCATGACAAATGGTGTTTGCATTAAGGGCCACTCAAAAATAACAACATAAAGTAAGACTTACAATTACTACAACATAGTTCCTCTTATACACACTAAGATACTCTGAAGTCTGTGATATAACTTCTATTGCAACAATGAAGTAAAAGTGAATTTACCTAAAGAAAGAAAGGTGCATTTAATCAAAATACCCCAATATTTGCTTTAAAAAGTTTCTCTTGCTTTCTTTGGGGGAAGTTGAACAAGGACAGAAAAATTGAAAAAATCTTAAATGGTTTAAGATAATGGTATAAAATCTACCTTGAGGTGTTTTTGGAAATTATAAAATATAATGATTTATTAGTTGGTTATCCATTCCAAAAAGTTCTATGATAATACTAATAGACCACTTGAAATTTAATACTCTGAGTGTCCAAGACAACCCAACGAATGGCAAAAATCAGAGATGCAGCATTTGTGTAAATTGGTATAGCATTTACAAATGCCCAAAACTAAGTTTGCTTTTAAGCAAAGAGAGAGATAAGGAAAAGGACAGTATGAAATGGTAAGCAAAGCCAGGTATGGCGGCAGAGGCCTATGACCGCAACACTCAGCTTAGGCAAGTTCACTACGTAACAAAACTTTGTCTCAAAAAAGGAGGAGGAGGTAAGAGAGAGGGGTAAGAAAGAGGAAACGGGAGAACAGGAGAAGGTGAGGAGGAGAAAGGGGGAGAGTAGGGAAATAAAGCATGAAATATATTATGTTTGGATCCAACCAATGCCTTCTAAATAGGGTTGTATCTTCCCTGAAAGATTTAAATATTTTCAGGAAGTTTGAGAATGAAATAACATATGTAAGCATATTAGATTATTTTAAAATACTGCAGAGGCCATGGTTTTTGCTCGTTTTTGTTTTTCGAGATGATCTCAATATCCTGGCCCTGAATTTCAGGGCTCAAGTGATCCTCTTGTCTGGGTTCCCAGGGAAAGCTGGACAACAGGTGTGTACCACCAGCTCCAAGCCTTCAATTTTGTCTTCAAAAAGTCACCTATGAAATTTAAAATCGTCATATTTTTCATTATTCTTCTAAGTATGAGAATAAATTTTCTCTATTATAGTTTATTATAAAAACTGCAAAGTTCACTCTACTTTGCTATTAGCTCTCATTGTGAAACTAGAATATTTCTGCTTAAAATACATTGTTTAGGCACCACTGAAAACTTCTAATGAGGTACTAGTTCCCTGGTTGCAGGGGCCTGGGGCACATCAGCTCTGGAGGTATTTTTTCCACAAAACTCCACATTGAGGGAATTTAGAAGTTTGCCCTCTTTCTCCACACTTCTGGAACTGTTCCATTATCCAAGACTTATACACATCCTAGTTTTGATATTATTTTGGTCTGAAAATGAATTAATCTCCCTCCTTCACATATTAAAGCTAGTGGACTGCCTCTAATATCCTTCTGAGAGCAAAATGTGACATATTCAAAGTATTTTAAATGGGGAATATCTATAACATATGTAATTTTTTTAGAGTATAAACTTACTGAAAATACTGGCAATTGAATTTTACTATTGTGGATTATGGCAAAAATCTAAGACTC